GGGGTTATGTGTATTTTGCCCACCGACTAGAAGTCTTAACCCATACATCCTTCTGCTAATGGCCACCCCATCTTTCCCCTCACAGCCAAGTCGCTTGTCAGTGATCATGAAGAGTAAAAAATACTAATAACCTGATCCTTATTAAAGACGGCTCTAACGTATGCCAGAGGCCTGTTCAACCTGAACTTCCTAGCATCTTTAATGAATGGTGTCAACAAACAAACAAACAAATAGATGCTTACATAAAGCTCACATCGTTTACATAATGGCATAATAGAGACAGAACACATTAAAAATATGGTGAAATTGTCAACAGAAGTGAATAAATATAATGTACCTTACAGTTCCCATTGTGTATATAGATGGTATTTACACATAAACATAGAAAAAACAAAACAAACAAACAAAACAAACAAAACAAACAAAAAACAAAACAAAAAACCCCCAACCCCAAAAACCCCCCCAAAACAAACAACAACAACCCAAACACATCTAAAAGATCACACCACTGATAATATAGTTTAATCAAGTTTAGCTTAAACTTATTTACAAGGTCGAAACAAAATTGCCTAGTGGTTAAAGCGTTCGCTCGTCACGCCAAAGGCCCGGGTTCGATTCCCCACATGGATACAATGTGTGAAGTCCATTTCTGGTGTCCCTCGACGTGATATTGCTTGAATATTGCTAAACGCGGCGTAAAACCAAACTCACTCACTCACTAAACAAAATTAAATGTACAAATCTTACAGGTGACACCACGCTATCATCCGTAATTACTCACGTCACAAATTATATGTCATTTAATACCAGGAAACGTTGTTATCGTCAGAAAGTTCTGGGGCGATCCCAACGGGACTTATAAACCGTATTGACCTACGCCACGTATTATCGTCAAGATGAAACAGGCGCCAGCCTCTGTGCAGAGCCTCTGTTCAACTTGTCTGATTCTCTTTAACGTAATACGCGCCTATCTTCAACTAAGACCCAAGCGTCATGTGAAACGCTGTTAAAATTGGAAATGAAAAACATCTTGCATTTCAAGCAGAAAAACAATCACAAATCTAGTTGAGATTCTCGTTAAGTCTCGGCAATATTGTTTTGTTTTTCTTCTGCTTGATAATAACGTACTGTTGAGCTAGGTTCCATTTTGGTTTTTGCATATGTTTTTGGCTTTTTCGATTAAATGGGGAACGTGGTATGAGCGCAGTTTGCGCTGGCTGGTGAACGATGGTGGCATGAGCTGTATCGATACCTGTTGTCATAATGTGTACATTGAATGTCATGTTATATGATACATGTCATGATACATGATACATGTCGTGATACAATTCATGAACAATCGACAGTTTTCCTGATAAATGTCGTATAATGCCATAAAACCACAAAATCACCGAACACCACAGCTTAATATGTCAAACCTTTCGCAATCACCCGCCAGCACTGATCCATCAGTGATTCAAATATTTTCAGCATGTATCCGTTTTACGACTAGTGGAATCTGTTTTGGCAGATTGAGACTGGTTATTCCCTGGTGTTTACGTTTTATATGCTGTGTATTCTATCAAATCTCTTGTTGCATATGCAAGTTTTATTAGATTTATGATCTGTAGATTTTATTAGATTTCTGACCTGCACAGTATTTTATTTGATATATATCAAGTAAAACATTGCTTTGGTGAATCATGTATTTTAGATTTCTGACCTGCACAGGATGTATATATCAAGTAAAACATTTGCTTTGGTACAGAATCATTGCTTTTGAATTAGATTTTTAATGACTTGTACAGTGCAATGTATATATATCAAAGTAAAACATTGCTTTGGTGAATCATTTCTGACCTGCACAGTATGTTTTCAAGTAAAACATTGCTTTGTTGGATCTGCACAGTATATATATATCAAGTAAAACATTGCTTTGGTGAATCATGTATTTTAGATTTCTGACTTGCACAGTATGTATATATCAAGTAAAACAGTATAGTATATATCAAGTAAAACATTGCTTTGGTGAATCATGTATTTTAGATTTCTGACCTGCACAGTATGTATATATCAAGTAAAACATTGCTTTGGTGGATCAAAACATTTGCTTTAAAACATTGCTTTGGAATCATGTATTTTAGATTTGCACAGTATGTATATACAAGCAAAAACATTGCTTTGGGGGATCATGTATTTTAGATTATGTACAGTCTATCAAGTAAAACATTGCTTTGGTGAATCATGTATTTTAGATTTCTGACATTGCACAGTATGTACAGTCAATATATATCAAGTAAAACATTGCTTTGGTGAATCATGTATTTTCTAATGACTTGTAAAACACAGTATTTTAGATTTATATATCAAGTAAAACATTGCTTTGGTGGATCATGTATTTTAGATTAATGACTTGTACAGTCAATATATATCAAGTAAAACATTGCTTTGGTGAATCATGTATTTTAGATTTCTGACTTGCACAGTATGTATATATCAAGTAAAACATTGCTTTGGGGGATCAATTTTATTAGATTAATGACTTGTACAGTCAATATATATCACGTAAATGATGCTTTGTTGGATCAAAGAGTTTAGTTTTCACCACTTTTAGCAATATAACAGCAATATCACGGCGGGGAACACCAGAAATGGGTTTCACACATTGTACCCATGTGGGGAATCGAACCCGGGTCGTGACCGCGGCGAGCGAACGCTTTAACCACTCGGCTACCCCTATGCCATTTGTAAACGAGTATAATTACCATTACGAATCCCGATAACATTGCTTCCTCTATTTAGAGTAAGAGTGTGGGAATATGAAAATAAATACCAATGTTTGTTAACATACTGGAGCAAACAGAAGTCATAAATGATCGATATTTTCAAGTTTTGCAAACACATTTCTTGTTCAGTATCCCTGCCTAATGCTACGAAATCGAGGGACAAAAACAAGTATACAGTGTTACGTTTTTATGTGAATGGAGATGGAGATAACTGTTGTCAAATTTAATTACCTCTATTTTACCACCACTCAGCCCAACTACAGTTTGTGAAAAAGTAATCTGTGGCTGGGTAATTGTGGCAAAATATATATTGGTTCAATAAAGACTGGGTAAGGGATGAATGTGCAACCACATGACTCATACCATGGATAAAATGTAATTTTGTTAAAAAAGACAATTTATTGATTTTCGAAGATAAGATGTCTAAAAACTAGCGAAGTTGTGTATTTTCGATTTTTGTTTTGTTTTTAAAGTTCTAAATCAATTATAATGTAAAAAACATGTTAGAGTATACCTTGACAATGACAAAGCACTAGTGCGGTCATTTTTATGTATAAATATCACGAACTTGAGATATTTTAAATTGAAACTCTAACATATGATAAAAAATAGCTGTGAGGTATAGTTTCTTTTGATCGTCAGTACATATTGGTAAATTCTATGCCGTAGTTTTTCTGTTTGAAATTAACTGACTTTGATTTATCACATATTTTGAGGTAATACCAGAAGCTCAACGGCATGAACTTTTTTCACGTCTATTCTTTACGATCTACTTCAATCCAACCCTATATTACTTCTTTCGAAACATGTATCGTCGGCTTAACGTGCCGAAATTTGATTGGGAGCTGTCACGTTGTCAATTGCTTTTGACCACTGCGCTCGCCCTTGTGAACGGACAGAGAAAAACACATTCTCAGCAAAATCGATACCGACTAAAAAGCAGAGAAAATCCCCGGTGTTTTCTGAATTAAGCAACGCCACCAAGTCAGCGAAACGGGTCTAGATTCCATGTAAAGTACGAACGCAGCGTCGTATCCAATTATACTTTAATCCGTCAAGTTGCAGAGACGTTTAACTCCATAAAACACTCACCTCAACTACTGCCAGCTGAGGTCTACCTCAACACTACCCTTCCCCGCTCCCTAATATTCTATTTGCACAGAGAGTCAAAATAGCTGAATTAATTTTAAAAGGACTTTTTAAAGGCAAAATAATTACGAAACTTTTAATGGGTTTTCAGGAGGTAGATCTGTGGCATTATAATCTTCGCGGAACGATGTTGAAATGGCTTTTGTTATTAGCTGTCATTCGTTCGTCATCATCATCATCATCGATATTTGGGTTGTTTCGTATTTATAGCTAATGGTCGTTGCTGTTTGTCATCAGCCTGTGCTTGTTGTTTTACGCCACAGTCCGAAAATATCCGTCTTTATCACGGAAGAGGGACAAGCTGAACAAGCTAAAGTAGTTACGTGAGGTGATTGAGTGAGTTTAGTTTCATGCCGCCTTTAGTAATATTCCTGCAATATCACGGTAGGGGACACCAGTAATGGACTTCACACATTGTACCCATGTGGGGAATCGAACCCGGGTCGTGACCGCGGCGAGCGAACGCGTTAACCACTATGCTACCCCAACCACCCTTAGGTGAGATGTGATGAGGTATGGTTAGGTGAGGTGAGTTGGGGTGAGGTTGGGTGAGATAAGGTGAGGTCTGGTTAGGTGGGATGAGGTAAGGTGAGATGGGGTTGGGTGGATTGAGGTGAACCCCCTCTCACACGTCTCTGTTACACCTGACGCCACGCCTGCTGCAACCTAAGGCATGCCGACGTCAACTACAGTAGGTTCAATGTCCCATGTTAAACGCTTTGCGAGAAAGAATGTGTCTTTTAAGGTGCCACTTTACCTATTCTGTGAAGATGCCGGTTAGAATTGGTCTTCAGCAACAAATGCTGGCCATTATAGGCAATTGACACGCTTGCTGATTTGTTTGATGCAAGTCATTGTATCCTATATTCAACGATGCTCATGGTGTCAATCACTGGAAAATTGCTGAGCTAGGCACCAAACAAACAAACAAAAACCTGATGAAGGAGCAAGCATACACTCCGAAATGTCGTGTTATTCACAATAAAGAAGTTGACATCCATAAATCTTTCTTTTCTCATGCATTCATTCCACTTCTAAATGCCCTTCAAAGATTTAAACAAACAAGCAAGAACTTCTTTACCGTACCACAACAGTGCTTGTAACACTTTTTGCTGGGGAAGCGCGGGCGTGACAATGTGGGTCAAACTTGGTGATGGGTGATGGCGGAACAGAGGATTCGTCATCCTCCGGGCGCGTGCTGGTGCTACTTCCGCCCGATCTGGTCCTGCGCACTGACGATCTTTTGCCGCTTCCGCGGTTCTTCCTGACCAACGTACCGCTTCTCGTCAGCATTGACATGCTGAACAGCTACATCACGGGAACGAGGGCAAGATGTAGACACTGCTCATCTGGGGAAGTAAAATAACGTTTATACATCAGTGACGAAAGATATCTCTACTAAACACAGAGTCGACGATACATTGCTTATTTATGTTGTAAGATGTTGATTTACTACAGTAAACTCCCTGGATCTCGAAACCCAAGGGACCATCAAGACAGGTTCGAGATATCGTGTGATTCGAGATTGAAATACATTGTACATATGCACATTGTGTACATAGTACTACTTACATTGAGTTCGATCCCCGACCGCGTCATACCAAAAGACGTTAAAATATGGTACTTGTTGGTCCCTGCCTGGCGCTCGGCATTAATGGGTTCAACAAGGACTGGTCGGCTCGGAGTCAGTATAATGTGTCAGAGTGGGGTATTCATGCTTCACTGCAGCATGGTATCTCTGTGGGCTAGCACTATAAAACCAGCTTCAGTCTGGGCTAGTACAAGCAGCCGCACATACACACACACACGCATGCACGTCGTCATATGAGCGAAATTTTATTCTCAGGCACGACGTTAAACCCAATTTCATCTCACCTCACTTACATTGAACTTGTATACGACAACGTAGAAAACAAAAAATCTCTAGTTTCATTCTTTTATTCTTTTCACAGTAATCATCATAATCATCATACACAAGATACATAATTAAAAGCAAAGAAATAAAAACTGTATTCTAAAAGTTTGTCACATGTACATGTACCTGTAATAAAAGCACATCAGCGTACATCACTTCAGCAGCCATATTGATCACGTGACAGTGAGTGTCATACAAAACGCGGAATAATTAATGTACGGAAAAAGTCACTGATGGATTTCTGTTTCTTTTATAGCCCCAAAGGTGATTGTCAACAAATTGGCAGTGACATGATGAACTCAGTTGACCTAATCAGTATGTTTAGCGGTCCGTCTTTTTGATGTTCGCACGCGCGGCGGATGAAGCTGGTTAACTGCTCACGTGTCATAGCCTCAAAGATGATTGTCAAAACAAAGTGGCAGTGACACGGTGAACTCAATTTAACCAGGGATAATCTACAAGTACTATAAAAGCGTAACTTATTTGTCCCCTGTTTAGATGGACCACAGGCATTCCCTACCGATTCCTTCCACTCCTGTCTATAAATATCAAATAATTTCTGTATAACGCTTTGTACAATAAACCTGGAGTTAAAAACTATTAGTGGGGGAAATAAAATGCTCAAGATCAACATTGTCTAACTTTTGTGAATTTTAAAATTAGGGTTTCTTTTTCCTCTAAAAGGCCAGTGGCTACCCCAAAGAAAGATTTTGCTCGTTAGTCGATATTGATCCAGGTTACAAAGACGTTTATAAAATCTGACAACACTGCCCCACTGGCGCACGATATGGGGAGTCCAACCAATGTCACCGCTCACAGCTGCGTTGTGTGCAAATTTTTCACACCATGTGTTAAGACAATCCAATAAAATATTAAGATCTGTTTCACTCTCAGCTAATAAAATAAGATCATCAGCATATGCTAAAACACCTACATTCAAACCAACAACATTCACACCTACATTCATATTATCTAAAACTAACAACAAATCATTAATATACATATTGAATAACAATGGTGAGAGTAAACATTCTTTGTTTAAGATCGCAATGAACATCAAACCGTGGGGAATTAAAACCATTCAAACGGATACAACATTTGACATTATCATAGATTGACATAATTGCCTTAAAAATCCTACCCCTAACATTTTGTGAAAGTTTTCCCCATAAAGTATTCCGATCAATACAATCATGCTTTTCTAAAAGCAGCAAACGTGGATTTTTTCATACTTTTTCTTGTTTCTATAACAGATGTAACATTATATACATGATCTATGGTAGATCTGCCCTTTCTAGACCCGTTTTGATTATCATGTAGAAGGCCATTGCTTTCCATGTATTCACTCAGTCTGTTGTTCAGTACCCCACAGTAAAGCTTATAACTGGCACTGGCTAACGTTATACCCCTGTATGCGAGCGGGTCCCTGGGGTCATCCGTGGAGGTCTTTGGGATTGGCGTGACAACGCCTTTACCCCACATGGAAGGGACAACACCCTCGATAAAGCATACATTAAAAAGGCTATGTAAAAATAACAAACAATTAGAGTATTTCAGCACTTCGACTGGAATGGCATCGATACCCGGCGATTTATCTCCCTTTGCTGTCAATAAAGCCCGCTGCACCTCCCCCAACGATATAGGTATATTGAGCTCACTGTTATTGTTACTGTTTGCGTCACGTGGCACACGGGTTTTGTCAGAACTAAAATTAGTGTTGAGTAGATTCGCATACGCATCTTGGAAGAAGGGGCTTGGCAGCGAGTACACGGGGTATGGTCATTATGTACAATGCTATATATTTAATAAGATGTCAGAAAATTCTAACATAAGGTAGATCTTTCTATAATATTCTGTATGTCAGAACTCTAGATCTCTTTCTAAATATCGCCTCTTATTGAATCTACAGGTACAATGTAGCAGCTGAAACACTGCTGCACAAGGTATAACACTGTCTGATAACAATATTTACATACATCTCTGTGATTAATAATAAATAACACATATCATCTAAAAGGATCGTGATAGGTTCAATATTCCTGAATATTCCGACGTTTTTAAATGTCTTTATTTATTATTGTTGTTTTGTTTCATCGTTAACTGATATTATACTCATGGAAACGAATATGGGAATACATGAAAGTACAAGTGTTCCTTTATTCTTTTCCAGGTTTCTTCACAAGGTATGTATTGCACTGTGAGTGAAATTCTGGAAATAGATAAAGGAACACTTGTACTTTCATGTGTTCCCTTATTAATTTCCATGAGTATATATAATCACTTCACAGTACAGGCATGTGGTTCAGACGCTGGTGGCAAACATGATGCAAAATGACACCCCTGAAACAACGCCATATTGTTTCAGGACACACCATTAGTAAGAAAAAAATGTAGCCGATATTAGCCGACACAACTAACAAAGTATGGCTATCTGTCTATTAACCAGGCACCAAGGCTAACATTGTATCTGTTCAGTGCCACAATAATATTTTCATTCTGGTGCCCGTATACACCTTACTAGTTTTTGATACTACCTTCACATTGTCTACGAAACATATACCTGTACATGTGTTTCGTTAGCAAATATTAAATCCGAAAAATAATATATATCTCATTTGTAATACATTTAGCTGAAGTTGAAATCGTAAATAAAATTTATTTAAAATAAAAGTGCTTTCAAGCGCTTTGTTTATAAATGTTGTATTCAGCAAACAGGTAATTAGTGAAAAATCTCAACATCGCCGGGCTTATTCAATGTCAATGGGTGTGGAGATAATAGACCACTGACAGGATCTTATTCGCACAGGCTGACGTCAGGGAGCATTGTTTCGACCGTGTGTATTGTAAGGTATTTGTTAGTGGTGCTGAATTCTAAGGCAGGCCTCAGCTCGGGTCAACGTATACCTCAGTCTTGTTTGTGTGCGATGTCAGCGTATATGTTCTCGGTGGGCGGGTTCAAGGCAGCTGTCTTACATCCAAATAGTCATCATTAGTTTATCATTATTTATTGATTACCCAAATGAAGATAAGGAACATTGATTTAGTCACATGAAACTAATTATAAGGTCGTGATCTTGACAGGAAATGGTGCCTCGCCACAGTCCTTGTTAGCTTCAAATTATGTCCGTCTCAGCATTAAATGAACATATTACATATGTGTGTGTGTTAATTAAAGGGCAGCGATGGCGAGTTCAGTGAAATTAAGCGTATGGTTGCAGAGCTGGTAGTCTGCATTTTGAAAGTATTTCTCCATTGAACTTTAGTCGTTCTGTGTTGTTATGGATATATTTCATGTTCTCTCTCTCATTAAACTTATAGGGTATAATATAACAGAAATATTGTTAAAGTAAAATGGAGGTTATGGCTTAAGATAATTCGTGTTTTAAATGATGTAACCTATGACGAAAGGCTGTATAAAATGTCATACCCTTAATGGTTGACCAAATCGTCCAAAGGCGCCGCAAGTTGCAATAAAAAGTAACTTCGGTTGGGCAACACACACACACACAACCCCACCCCCCACCCGCCTCTTTCCTCATTAACTGAGATACTGTACCGGTTCAAAACGGCATTAAATCATAATCGCTAACTCACAGTCATACATTTAGATTGAGTTTCTTTTTTAATGTCCCTAACCTTTCATAGAAATATGTTTAGAATTATGTTTACTTGAACCCAAATCCAACAGTCTTGTTATCCAATAGTCTGCGATACGTGATTATGTGTCCATCAGCTAGATGACGGGTAGACTTGATGTGAGTGACAATGGAAATATTCTAGAATTCATAGCAAATGTTTAACATGTTTAGCTATGGCAACTGACTTACGTCAATTCAATAACGTTCTTTAGTATACATTCAACGACCCTGTGTCCTATTTCCATGTATTATCTTCAAATTCTATTTCCGTATAACGGTAACAGTTGGGTAGTTTACATGAGAAATAAACCATTAATGGATATTAATCTACGAATGTTCGTTGAAAGCTATGTCAATCAATACCTTCCCTCTTCAAACTCCGTCCTAATGCTGTAGAAACCTTGAAACAGATGGAAGTTATTGTGAAAAATATTATCGATTTGTTGAAGAGAGATCCAATTTGCACTAATACCTGGATATATCAGCTGACTGCCGTTGGACATTATAATGGCAATCAGGAACAATAGCATCCCGGCCCTTCAGCAAACTCTCTCTCTCTCTCTCTCTCTCTCTCTCTCTCTCTCTCTCTCTCTCTCTCTCTCTCTCTCTCTCTCTCTCCTCTCTCTCTCTCTCTCTCTCTCTCTCTCTCTCTCTCTCTCTCTCTCTCTCTCTCTCTCTCTCTCTCTCTCTCTCTCTGGGGCGGTGGGGTAGCCTAGTGGTTGAAGCGTCCGCTCGTCACGCCGAAGACCCGTTTTCGATTCCCCAC